CTCTGCTGTGTAATGACGTACGTCAAGTCACCCTTCACCTTTCGGCTTAGGGCATCTGCGACGACGTTCGCCTTTCCCGGATGATACTAGATAGAACAATCATAATCCTTGACAAGCTCAAGCCAACGGCGCTGCCTCATATTAAGCTCCTTCTACGTGAAGATATACTGTAGGCTCTTATGATCTGTGAAAATCTCGCAACGTCCGCCGTAAAGATAATGTCGCCAGATCTTCAGGGCATGAACGACTGCTGCTAACTCCAAGTCGTGCGTAGGATAGTTCTGATCATGAGGCTTAAGCTGACGTGAAGCATACGCAACGACCTGGCCATCCTGCATAAGGACACATCCCAAGCCCTGTCTCAAAGCATCGCTGAAGATAGTGAAACTCCGAGAAGGATCGGGAATAGTCAACACCGGTGCTGAAGTTAATCTTCTCTTGAGCTCCTGAAAGCTCGCCTCACATCGATCAGTCCACTCGAACTTCACAGACTTCCTCGTCAGCTAGGATAGAGAAAGGGCGATCTTGGAGAAGCCCTCGATAAACCTTAGATAATAACCAGCCTGACCGAGAAAACTGCGAACCTCGGACGGACTCCTCGGTGTTGACCAGTTCTGAACGGCTGAAACCTTCGAAGGATCCACCTCGGTACCTGCCTGAGTAATCACATGACCCAGAAAGGATACTCGCTGGAGCCAGAACTCGCATTTGGAGAATTTGGCGTACAACTTTTCTCGTCTGAGGGTTTCGAGAACCACCCTCAGATGCTCCTCGTGCTCCTTCTGGCTCTTCGAGTAAATAAGGATATCGTCAATAAAGACAATAACGAACTGACCGAGGTAGGGATGAAAGATACGGTTCATAAGGTCCATGAAAACAGCTGGCGCATTGCTGAGACCGAAAGGCATGACGACAAACTCGTAATGGCCGTAACGAGTCCTGAAGGCGGTCTTAGCGATGTCTGACTCCTTAATCTTCAGCTGGTGGTAGCCTGATCGTAAATCAATCTTCGAGAACACACAGGCTCCCCTCAACTGATCAAATAAGTCGTCGATCCTGGGAAGCGGATACTTGTTCTTGATCGTCAATCGGTTAAGATCCCGGTAGTCGATGCACATACGCATAGATCCGTCCTTCTTCTTAACAAAGAGAACGGGTGCTCCCCATGGTGACACGCTCGGTCGGATGAAACCGAGTTGTAACAGCTCCTGAATCTGAGTCTTCAGCTCCTGCAACTCCTTAGGCGCCATACGATACGGGGCTTTGGATACTGGACCGGCCCCTGGGTTGAGATCAATAGAAAACTCCACCTGACGGTTGGGCGGTCCTCCTGGAAGCTCGTCTGGGAACACGTCCACAAACTCGCGAACGATTGGGACATCATGAGGGGTTCGCGCTTTCTGAGAATCGTCGACAAGGCTTACCAGATAACCCTGGCAGTTGCCTCATCGCAATAACTTAGTGGCTTTCGCCATCGAAACAACCTGAGGCAGTGAACGATTCTTGGAGCCGAAGAAAGTAATCGACTCGTCTCCCGGAAGATAGAGAGTGATCTCCCGATCACGACACCTGATGTCTGCATGATAGAAGGATCGCCAATCCATTCCGAGAATAAGGTCGAAGTCCCTCATCTCGAGAACAAACGCGTCGGCAGTCAATACTCGGCCACTGATGGAAAGGCTAAGATCTGAGGCTTTATCTGAGGTCACTATTTTTCGTCCCGAGGCTAAACTCACCTCGAGAGGATCGACAGCGGTAACGGCGTGAACTCCGATGGCATCGAGACATCGTCGTGAAATGAAAGTATGCGTCGCTCCAGTATCGAATAACGCGAATACAGGAATATCATTAAGAACAACCATCCCTGACATAGTACCTGGCTGCTGTGCTGCCTCTGCCTGATCGACGGCGTAAACCCTGGCCTGCTGCCTGCCCCTCTGCTGCTGCTGCTGCTGAGGCGGCCTCTGTGCCTGCTGACGTGGCTGCTGCTGCTGTAGGGGCTGCTGAGGCTGCTGAGGCTGCAGCTGGAGTCTCTTCGGACAGCGACTCGCAAAATGTCCCGGCTCATGGCAATAGTAGCAGATGTCCTGTCCCATACGACACTCTCCCCTGTGAAGTCGACCACAAGTCGGGCACGATGGAATCGGCTGCTGTCTCTGTCGAGTCCTCCGGTCAGTCTGTGAACCCTTTCCCTTCCTCTTCTTCTCCTTTGCTGGCTGAGGGGCTGGTAGAGCTGGTGGAGCTGCAAATGACTGAGCTGGGGTAGATGGCTGAGCACGGTCACGAACTGCCTCCCTCCTGATGCTAGCGTCCACCTCCTGGGCGATAGAAACTGCACGAGCGTAGGTCTGAGTGCCGTGTCCCACGATGTTATGACGGACTGCTGGGAAAAGTCTGTCGATGAACTGCTGCGCTCTCTGAGCCTCCGTGCGAACAAGATCCGGTGCGAAACCTGCAAGTCTGGTGAACTCTCGCTCGTACTCATCTACAGTACGAGTGCCCTGCTGAAGCGCTAAGAACTGGCGCTCCATCTCTGCCCGATAGTAGGAAGGGTAGTACTTGTCGCGAACTAACTCCTTGAACATGTCCCATGTACAACCCGCTTTTTCACCAGGACGCATGCTCCAGTAGGCATTCCATCAGAGCCTTGCATCACCAGTGAGCTGAAGCTGAGCGCAAACTACGCGATACCTATCGGGGCATTCCATAACCTCAAAGATGAACTCTAAGCCCTGAATCCATTCATCAACGATGCGGGGATCTCCCTGCCCTGAGAACTTTTCGGCGTGATAGTCGCGGAACTGGGCGACTACCGTAGCCTGAGTAGGAGCCTGATGATCGGGTTCCCTACATGGTGGCATCTGAACATTGAAAAAGTTTAACATTACTGAATACATGATAACATTACTGACTGATTACTAAGGCACACAAATCTCTTGACGAGTAGCTAAAAGTGGCCGATAAATACTGACGTGAAACCTGAAGAACTCTAGAATCATATAGGAAGATCCTACCGTCTAGAGTCATATCTGACTGCCTGAATTCTAGAGTCATGTCCGAACTCTAAAGTCTGAACCTTATTCGAGCATCTTAACTAAAGTCCTGATCCTTAATTCTGAGCATAGACAAAGTAATATGTTTATAACTGAAAAACTGAATCAGCACTTACCTGTCGTCGGCGGGGCGTGAGCATGACGGTTCAGGTTTTTCTGAAAAATTACTGACTGAAAATCTTTTTCAGAGACACAGAAACGTGCTCTGGTAACAATTGTAACACCCCTCCTTACCGTAAAATCAGAGTACGCAAAATTTCGCAAAGTCTTTTAAAAATAATGCTTTTTTTACTTTGCGAAAACTGATTCGGGGTGCTACCTTTAAAAATCGTGACTTAATTTAGAAAACCGTTGTTTTAATTTTTAATAAAATCGTCCGGTTACTGAAAGCATAAGTTTTTAAAAGTTCGTCAAAAGTAATAAGTTCGTCAAAACGAGTACGTCAAAAGTCATCAAAAACATCAACACAAGTCATCAAAGTATCATAAGCGGAAGCGTAAGTCATCATCATATTTATACAGTCCAAAACATAAATATCCTGAAGTCCCCGTCACGTCACGCTCATGCTCCCGACCCGACATCCTGACCTGAAAAACATGATAAAACTGAGGAGTGAGCACTATGGCACTGTGCTCCGTGGAAACTCATACTAATGTAAAACATCGAAAATAATAACAACATCATGATATCAGTATATACATAACCTCAACCTCAAGCCGGTAATAAACATGAATCTGAAATCATCACGCAAACGTGACCCTGAAATCATCACGCAAACGTGACCCTGACCGTTACCTCATCTGCCGGCAAAGTCGGACACCATGTGCACACTCTAGTGGGCAGACTAGGGCCACTAGAACCCAGAATGGACCGGCGACCATTCCGAGCGGATGCCTCAACTGAAATACATACCTCAAACATGGTACTGTAATTATAATCAATATAGTACGTAGTCTGAGTCCCCACCTGAATAGCTGAACTGAACGGTAGTGCTGATGCTTGATCAAACTGAAAATAATATAAACAATTACTATTGACTATGCCCAGACTGATAACTTAACTAATAATTTTCGTTAAGATGCTCTATTTAACTTAACACGATATTTAGACTTATCCGCAATAACCGGAACTGACTTAACCTGAACTGATTGGACATGAATTTACTGAACTGAAAT